CAGTGAATCCAAGAGAAAATGCAGACATGCTTTCGAGTAACACGATTATTACAAAATCGACTAAGGAGTTTTTTTGAAATGAACTACATGCGTCTATTTAAAATCTTCTAAAACATATCTTACAAATCATAACCTGAAAGCAAATTAATTTAACTTTTAATTGTAACATTTGAAGATTTCTTTCGATTAAATTGTTTCTAGTCGTTTGAAATTGTCAGTGACGAGTGGCTCTGAAATGCAAAATATACGTAAATGCAGCAGAGGCAAATAGAGTTTGATGTGGTTCCTCATCAGCTGATCTGAAAGCTGATTTTTCCACTTGAGCAGGTGAAGTGCTCCTATCATCGGCCTGGATTGACCCTTCACCTCGGGTGAAGCGCCCCCTCCCGGCCTCTACCTCTACCGTATAGGCCCCCTTCGAGCCGATTTTGGCCGAAATTTTGGTCGGCCGACGCCGGACGGAAAAGAGCACACAAAATAGATCTTTGTCCGACTGACGACGTTTTCGGAAGAGGTCATTTGAGTTTACTAGGACCGTCTCCGTTCACCAGCACTTGCTGGAACCAATTCGGCACATCGGACGAAAACGACGGATTTCGGCCGACCGAAATCGGCTTTATTGGGACCACTGCGTAACGAAAAAAGGTGCTCGCGCGATACTCCATATTGTAAACTGTGACATATTTTATATAAACCAAGGATGTGGTGCACTGTGGGACATTTTGTAATAAAGGATGGAGCAATTTAGTTCTATCTGCAGAAGTTGGCAAACGTGATAACCATGAGGTTGTATCTGTTGTGAGTTGCGTCTGTGAGCTGCGTCTGTATGTTTACGAAGGAGCGTGACCAGCAGTTTTACGTGAACAAAGAAAGTTGAAAATGGAGTGTGAAGTGTTGTCTGATTGTGAGTGCAGTGGATCACAATACTGCACACCCAAAAAAGCTAGAAAATATTATCACAACGAAGAGCAGAAATGAAGTGCTGAAGCAGGTAAAACTGAAGAGTTTATGTTCGTCATTTTCCCCTTAGCTTTTGTGCATAACGCCCCTCTGCAACATTACCCCTTGGGAAAAATTATTTTATAAAAGGTAATATTGAGCCAATGCGAGTGTAGAACATACTTTGTCGTTTTCGTATACTCGTAGCTTCTGAAAAGCGATACTGACAATCAGAAACTGTCTCCTACGAAGATATGCATAATATTTAATTAATAAGAAGCAATTTAATCAATAAAAAGAAAAGTATAATTACAATTATTGTTAGGAAGAGGAAAAGAAATCCCAAAAAGTGGAAGAAAAAGGTACGTAAACGAAATAGCGAGAGTGGCAAAGAATATGTGAGTACATCAGAAAACGAAAAACGAAAAGATGGCCCACGAACGTTGTAAATGCATTTATAACTGTTCCAACAAAATTTGTTGAGAAGACTGGGAATCCTTAATGATATCTTTTTACTCAATAATTGTAAACAAGAAAAAACCTTTCATCTTGAAAAACTCGTACATTATCATGTCAGAGTGAATAATGTTGAGAGTAGAATGAAACATTCATTTGCCTGTTTCTTGTATGTAAACGAAGAAAATATATGAGTATTTGAGTTTTTTCAGGGAACTCCTTTTGTAAGCAAACATTTTTGTATAATGCGCATGCTTCAGTTTTCTGTGTTCTTTAGTTGTGTTATATTTCACCCTTTAAAAAAATGAGCATATTTTTTAAATTTTTCAACCCATACTGTAATTATTCATCTTTTCGCTCTAATAAAATTAAGAATATTTTGCCCCGCGCTGCGCAGGCCATTGAGGTAGTTCAATATTAAGCTTCCTAATATGTCTGATCAATTGTGACAAATGTAAATATAATCCCATTTATAATTCTCCCTACGTAGCCTAATTACTACCCCTATTATTTATTATTCAATTTAAGTGGCTAGCTCTAATTTTTATCAAGTTTTTAGGGTGTTTATATTCTTACATTAGCTTTAGGTATTTTCGTCTTTCTTCTCGTGGGCTAGAAAACACCGTTCATACGAATATCAGATGGTGATAATTTAAATTTGTTAGGAAATATTCTGTTATTTATTCCTTTAACTAATTCTAATCAAAATCAAACACCTTGTAATTTGTTATGAAATTATTAGCGACATGAAGTGCCGGCAGTAGAATTAATCTTTTTTCAATATTCTTTTTGTGATTAATATTTGACTATATATATATATTCTTTTTAAAGAATAAAAGTATCCTAAAAAATGGCACAGGCTTGATTTTCTGTAAACTCGTTGAATTTTCGAAAATTGCAAAAGTTTAAATTTTATTAGCGTCTTTTACAACTGCAATATTGAAGACAGAGATTTTGTAATGAAATCGGATTTTCCAAATTAGATCTTTTAATAAAATCATATCCATTTTTTAAAAACACGAGTAAAAATTGTAAATAATAATTTTTGCGTTCAATAAATGTAATTTTAAAAACAATGTTTTCTCAAAAGCGACACTATTTTTTCTTTAAATTCTTTATCTTGCACTGAGCAAAGTAATTATGGTGCAGGTCGATTTCGCTGAACTCTCAGAATTTTAGAAAAATTCAAAAGTTTAGAATTTAGTAGTGGAGGACCAATTACATATCTGGGACCCCTCTCGACTGAACTATTTTATTTACATATGTTTTAGAAAATAATAAAACTTACCACAAATAAAATTAAATTGTGCGTTTAATGATACGGTTGTTACAATTATTTTTAAGTCGTAGGGTAAACAGGCTTTCAAATACGATTGAACTATTTACTGTGTTACCAGACGAGTTGGAGAGCTTCTTCCCTAAATGTCAAATCTCCAAACTGTCTGATTAAAAAGAATACAATAAGATAATCGAACATATTTACGGAAATAAATTGTTTTATATGCACGGGGCCCCCTTCAAAATTTTCTGGGACGCCACGGCTCCCCTAAGGTCCCTCCCTGACTGCAGGTTTATGCACAGATTCTAAGTATCTTCATCCTTCATAGTGTTTTAAATTTGGAAAATTTTACTCATTGATACACATAGTTCAGCTAACTAGCTAAATTACACTTACGAGTGTTGGATAATACCATAAAACCTAATATTATGTAGCACCACTCGGGATAATTCTGGATGAAGATTCTTAAATAACCCCAGATCTGAAACTTCGAAAAGGAACACACGGAACGGCACGTTGGTATGCTCGTGGGAACGAATGGAACGGCACGTTGGTATGTTGAAAATATCTTTCCATCGGAGCTTTTGCAAACGCCAGAAGAGTCGGATCATCTCGTCCCGACCGTGCGCAACCCCGGTCAACAATGTGTACTTCGATTAAAACACCAAGTCCGTTGATACTTGGTCAGCTGTAATGCCGTCACGCGATTGGGAGCTTGAACGTCAGTATGGTGACCATGTGGTCTTGGGGGACCTATGGTCACCAAAATGACTTTCAAGCTCCCGATTGAACGACAGCGACATAGCTGATCAATTCTCATTGGACTCAATATTTTAATTAAAGTACAGTCGACTCCGGTTATAGTGAACTTCTGGGGGCTAACGTTTTTGGTTCACTATATCAGAGGTTCACTATATCCGATGATGTCAAAATGAAATATATTTTCTCCCCAATGATTGATTTTATTAATGTAGAGCAAAATACATTAACAGAACGAATTAAAAATGTCAATATCTCAATTTAACCTTTAAAAATCAATTATTTTCAATTGTTTGGTGCGTACTTTTTTCATTACTAATTTCTCTAGATCCTACTTCAGAGTTCGTGCTCTCTCCATAATAGATTTTGCATAGTCCATTATCCCTAAGGATCCGCCTCGTATGTACACTGGCCGTCCCACTCTTCGAAGGCCCTTTAACTCGCCTAATAACATCGTATCATTTCGATAGAGCAATGTCCAATGGTTGATGAAACCGATCGCTTTTCCGCGGGGCGCGTCATATGTCGCCTACGCCAAGCGGAATCTCAAATAACAGCAAGCTTAAAACTGTGGGAAGCAGTCGTGGGTCGCCACTTCGACGCACGTCACGGCCCTTGTTTCCACAGTGAAACTGAGCGTCAAAATGTCATCAGTAGGGTCATTATTCCGTATCTGAAACCTCCTCCTTCGAGGAGACTTCTTCGATGATGACGTTTAGTCGACATTCTTTCCAAGCAGCCCACTGTTGGAATTTCCTCAGCCCAGCGCACTGAGGCGCCATGTTTATTTTCATGATAGGATTAATATCCAGGACATTACATTTCCTACATTCCCTATAGCCGATGTTCGGAGTTCACTATAACCGAATCTTGTTGTGCTCATTTGTGATGTAAGTGAACGGGAACTTAAGTTCACTACAACCAAGAGTTCAGTATATACGAGTTCACTATAGCCGGAGTTGACAGTATAATCAAGTTAAAAAAATAAAAAATAGAAAAAAGTCGGTGTAGTACCGACAGCGATGGATCAGAAGCGCTATACTGCGATTTATGCAAGTCTGCCCATGGCAGGTATCAACTGTTGACGGTTTCATGCAATATTTATTTTGGCTGTGGCGCCATATTTATTTCAGGAAAGAATTAATATCCAGTATATTACGTTTCCTACATTCCCTATAGCTGAGGTTCGCAGTTCACTATAACCGAATCCTGTTGTGCTCATTTGTGATGTAAGTAAAACGTGATCACTGACTTAAGCTCACTATAACTGAGAGTTAACTATATCAGAGTTCACTACAGCCGGAATTGACTGTATAATCAAGATTAAAAAACAAAACAAACAAAAAAACCGTCCCTGTAGTGCTGAAGGCGATGGGTCAGAAGCACTATACTGCGATTTATGCAACTTTGCCTATGGCAGGACTTAGCTGTTGACGGTTTCATCCCATCGAGAGCTTGAACGGCACCATAGTGACGTCACTATGGTGGTGTTGAAGCTCCTGATGGGATGAAACCATCAACAGCTGATACCTGCCAGGGGCAGTGTGGCGAAAATCGCAGTTTAGCCTCAAGCCGTTGGTCGCCGAGCAGGCGGCGCGTCGCCTCGAGAGGCAGCGGCGAGAGGCCGCGCGGCCTTGCCGTGCGCGCGTCCGTGCCACCGCGTGTCCGTCTCGGCGAGTCGCGACCCGTCCCGCACCCGACCGCGCGCCAGCCCGGCCGGCCGCGCCGGCCCGCGTCGCGCCCTGCCTCATCGTACTCACCTTGGCCGCTGGCGGCCGCGCGCGCGACGGGCGGCGTGGGCGGCCGCGCGCGGCAGCACATGCCGCCTGCTGCAGGTGGCGCGCTCACACATGGCGGCGGCCGGCCAAGGCGTTAGCTGCAGCGGCGATGGCTCTGGTCAGGCGCGGCGTTCGAACGGGGCGCGGTGTCCGCTGCCTGCGAGGGGAGCACCGCATTAAATAGATGCCGACGAAACAAGTTTATTCGCCAAGCTGTATCAACCATGATTCAATCAAATATTTACACCGAGATAAATGTTGCAGTACAATACACTAAACATGTTTAGTAAGCGATCGTATAGTAAATCCAATTATTCGTGTGGTAAGTTTCACTAAACTTCACCTTCACTAAACATTCCAACTACATGTGCTGCAAAATTGGTGTGCATTCTTAGGCAAACTCTTCAACTTTGGAATCTTACATATTGGTGGGTGAGATCATTGTAAAGCCCTGGTACCGGAAAAAGTGGATAAATATTGTTCCATTATGTAGTAAATTACTCACTCTAGTACATGTAGTCAGAACCCCAGTTTTTGAGTTCTAGAACCGAAAAATTGGTTTACGGGAATCACCTGACTGCCAGACCGTCTGTCTTGTCAACACCGCTAACGGCTAACCCGTAGGCATGATTGGCAGCAAAACTGATATTACTCGATAGATATGACAGATGTCGTGACCCTTTCAATTTGAAACGGATATTTTGATCTGAGATGTTCCCTGATTACTTTCCAAAGTTTGTCAAAAATGGTAGCTTTTTGTTTACTTCGTTTCTCAGTTATAATATAAAGGCTTTTAAAAATGAAAAATGGCTATTAATATGGCGTAACTCATTTGATTCAATTCTCTCAATTCTCGAAAATTACAAAAGTTCTGATATTTTTCGGCGATGTCTGCCACTATAATATTGAAGAGAGAGATTTATTCTTAATGAGATTTCTTTTTCGAAGTTGGATCTCTAAATAAAGTTATGAGAAACTTTTCAAACAACTCAGTAATTTTATTTTCGGTGAAATAGCCAATTTTTCAATTTTTTTTTCAAAAATGGCTTCAAACGTTTTCTTTTTTCTCGAGAAGAGCAAATTACAATTATTATATGGCATAGGTCCCACTTCAGTATTTTTGAAAATTGTAAAAACATTGCAAAACTACAAAATTGTTGATAGAGATAATTACTTAATGAAGTATGTTCTTCAAAATTTGATCTTTCACCAAGGTATTTGATATTGGATATTCGAAATTCCCGCGTTTCTTTTGTTGAAGAGAAGTCTCACGAGGTAGCTGAAAGGTCAACAGGATATAATTTGCTATATTATAACACGAAAGTTGATTATCTGTTACAGATAAAATGATTTAGCATGTGCTGTTGAATCTTTTTTGAAAATTAACCTAATAGTACTTTTATGGTAGTATCCTACACTGTTTAACTTATATAAAACACAACTGACTGCCTATAAATAAATCCTGGACCATTCTTCTTCTTCTTCTTCTTATAATAATAATAATAATAATAATAATAATAATAATAATAATAATAATAATAATAATAGTATTTTTCTTTTATCCGAGACCGCTGACTAGCTCATATCAATTAGCAATATCAGAGTAGCAACGCCACAACATGGCAAAGTTTGAAATTCATAAAATCAAATGGATAATTAAAAATCACATTACAAAAAAGAGAAATATTACTCAAAACTGCCACCGGTTTATGTGAAACGTTTATTCAGCTCACTGCCTCCTAGAATAACATTTATATCCAAGGATGAATAACAGTTTAATGCAGAAAATGATTTCAAAAACGTTTCAATTTTATGATAACAAAACTTTCAAAAAACAATTATAATAAAAATACATTTGCACTCATTAAAATATGTGTCTGTATAATTTTGCCTGTAATGTTCCACATAGATTTTATAGAGAATTTTTTGTCCTCTTCACCATCCAACCTTCGCATATTAATTGTGCAACCTTCAAAATGTCTGTACTTTCTTCAATTGTAGTTTGTAATGGAAATGTGTATTTTCTATCTTCAAAAATTTCTTGAAAAATTTCTTCCATACACTTTCTGTTTCTTTTGCTGTATTCGGCACTGAATCTTCGAAAATAGATTCAGTTTCAGAATTTTGATTATTGCCAAAACGATATTGCGATTTAAACATTGCCAATTTTAAATTGATGCTCGCAAACTCTTATGTATATAAAACAATTGCTCGATAATAGCAGAAATGTCAATAAAGTGATTACAGTGGAGGGCAAAGTTGATAATCAAATGGTGATAGACATCTATAATTAGTTTAATTTGAATATATTCTTGCTTAGCATTGGTTAGTTGGACACGGGCAGACATGAGTAAAATGTCACTCTAAAACCACTCATTTGTTGAATAACACAATGAACAAAAATTATCAAAAAGGGTGCCTTTCACCATAGTACGAGTACGCGTAGTACCACAAATATGAATCGTGTAAATAATTTAAAATATAGATATAGCTGTAATGTGACGGGATTTTTCCTTTTCAACATCCGTAAATCACATAATTCTGACTTGATGCGGTCAAATGAAGTAGGCAGTCACTAGAAACAGCCTGCTAAAAACAAATATGTACACAGAGGCGACATAACCACTTCTGCTGTTTGCTTTTGCAATGCAAGGATGAAAAATTTGTCTGAAAGCTACGAAGTCATCACATAGCGCCACTGCGTCATCCGCATGAATACAACTTTGTACACCACTTGTAACTCTTGCACGGGAAAACGTTTTCACATTTACTAATGGAATTTTTTTAAATATTAAATGTGTGAGAGATAATTAAAAAATACATTTGTGTATTTTTTGAAAAAACAAAAGGATACATGAAAGTTAATTTTACGTCATCTTAAACAGTACAGTTTGCACTATACGTTCGAAAAATGTGAAGAAAAATATTGGAGCGATTTTTGAGAAAATGGCGTTTGAGCGTTACTGAACATACGGAATTTCAAGCTAATTTTGACAGAAAACTATTGTTTTCGTAAAACTTTATCTAACATTATTTAAAGTACATGCATTCATAAATAAATTAATGTTGGCAAATACGGGAAAGTAAAAAAATCAAACAATATATTAACAAAGACAAATCGTCGAATGGCATAAGCTCAACCAAAACGATGCCAGCCGACTCTTCGCCAGTTCCACTCATCAGCGGAGAATTAGATCCAACACACAGATTGAACGTCGCGTTCATATTAGAGCAAAAACTCTGATTATTGAGGATCGTTTTGTACCTAAAAATATCCGAATAATGTATACAAAGTAGCACCGTTGTAACGCGTGTACAAAGAAATTAAATATATCAAGGGATTCGAGATATCAAAGAAGCTATACGAGATATCAATAAATTCGAGATATCAATAAATTCGAGATATCAATAAATTCGAGATATCAATATATTCGAGATATCAATATATTCGAGATATCAATAAATTCGAGATATCAATAAATTCGAGATATTAAGATAATTCCGGAAGGCAAGGAATTCACATTAATTACATAATTCATGTGATTAGAGTTACCAAAGTTCGCAAAATCAAGTTTCGTCCATACTCTTCCCCTTCGTATTTCGAGAGCCTATGCAACGTCAGTTGCTGCGCATGTGGACCTGGCAAGCAGGAAAACGCCTCGGCGGGAGCTCGCTGGGAGCTGCGAGCGCAAGAAATCCGACGCCCTCGGCGCCTTATCACGGCTGCGTGACTGCGCCAACATGTCTTCCAGGCGGTGCGACACTTCGCGCAAGAATGCCACTCTCTCTCTCTCTCTCTCTCGGCCTGCTGCGCCTGCAACCCGCCACACTCCTGGGCGGCTCTGCTCGACGCTGCCTAACGTACGGAGTACTTGTTTCAATTCTATTTCTGGCGTAGGCGCGCGAATCACTATTATAACCTGTAGAAATTTTTAACATTTCTGTTAAATGTCAAAAATGAGAGTGCGGTGGAGTCCGATTAAAAAATTGATAATTTGAAAGTCATAATTCTTACTCAATTCGAATTATTAAATGATTCGAAATAGATTTTACCCTTGAATTTTTTTGAAAATTGATTTTACCCTTAAAGATTTTAAAAGAAATACAAATTTTAGAGTCCTACAAGATACCCCCCATTTTTTTTTCCAAAACGTCCAACAGTCCATCTTAGCGTAGTTCCTCTATTTGTCCGTCTGTCCGCCCATACGACCCTCTGTCTGTCCGTCGATCTGTGCATAACCGCAACTCATAAACAATTCCTAGGATTTTTTTTCTCCGTAATGAATATTCCCCCATTTGATCTTGCTCGACTCGAAGCCCTGCAATTTCGAAATAATTATTTAAATTAAAACTTTTCTTAAGGATAGAGATAAATGCACTTAATAACAGCAATGTCACATTTAGTAAACTTTCGGTTTTTCAAAAATTACATATTTTTTAAAATAACTCATCCATCCTTAATATATACGAGTACTTTGCTGGTTTTCTTTACATATCATTTCATTTCATTTATGAGTTCAGGCGCTTTAAATTATGCTTCTCGAAAACTCAAGTGTGTTCTGCTTTTTCAATAGTGCAAATGAACTCAAAATTACGCATTTTCAGAAAACCTTAAATGTCTTTTTTTAAATGACACCGAATTGTGCAATGAAAATTCGCGTAGAAAACAAGGACTTACTCTTGTACGATATTTTCAAGCCGTATTTTCACTTTAGAATTACGGATCTGGAAAAATTCAAACTGTGAAAACTAGAGGTGCTAGAATGGCACACACATTCTCTCACTATTTTTGATTATTGCAATTTTTGAAAATTCAGATAGTTCAACGAAACTTCAACCTCCGCCATTTTTAAAAACAAACAGCACTACTCGAGAAAAAAGTGCTACCGTTTCTTAGAAAAATTTGCTTTTAGAATTGATTTTATTGCTCGCACAATTACGCAAAACCACTTCATACATTTCCACGTGCTTACGTAAATTTTCTGTTTCTTGTCCTCTGCGGTCTGATAGATTGATAATGTAATTCAATGTTAATTAATAAAGTTCGAAAAATTCCCTTTCCTCAGCTGGTATGTTTTTGTTGCAACGTCAGTGGAGATGAAGGTATGTCAATTTCTTCAATTTTTATTTTTTCTTTCGCATTGAAATTTGCAAAATGATTACTTAAAAAATGTGCATTCCTCATCTTTCTGTTGACAGAAACACTACTACACAACAACGACCACAATTATACTCTTTTGACTTTCTCGTATTTACTACAAGAGAAAGTTATGTAAGCGTGCGGCGGGAAAATGGCGAATTTTTTAACATGTTTTCCAAATCGTACTTATCACTGGATTCACCTTGGAAGCGAACAGAGGGCTGCCGCAGGGCGAGCCATCTCAAGGATCAACAATGTCACTGTGCAAAACATTGGAAAACTTGTCCAAGAGAAAATGGACATGTCTGTTATTAAAATAAAGTACCTACATTTCCTTTAAAACATTTTCTCAGAAATTTTAATTTACAGACTACGAATTTTATGTGAGTTTAGATTCATTACTTATATGTATGTTAACGAAGCCGTTTTTGAAAAAAACTTCCATTGTTTTTTTGATAAACTTTTTTTGATCCATGGCACGAACAGTTCGATTGAGATAGTTCCACAGATTCTCTACTGGGTTTAAATCGGGGGAGTTTGGTGGCTAGGGGAGTCTTGGTGCTCTTTGAACCACGCACGTATACTGCGCGTTGTACGACCTGACGTTGCATTGACCTGATGGTAGATACCCTATTGCTGAGAAAAAAAAAACGATCAGAATGTAGAGGTGAACATGGTCTCCAAGGATGGCTGCATACTTATATTGATTGCCTTCCAGAATTACGAGTTTATCCACGGAAGTGCCACGAAAACATTCTTCACCCCATCACACTCCCTTATTCAGTTTGGACCCGTCCCGCGATTGTTGCAGGGTGTTTGCGTTCCCACGTTTCACGCCATACAGGCCAACGACCATCTGTCGAATGTAGCATAAAACACGATTCATCTGAAAAGGCCACCAACCGCCACACAGTGGACGTCTAGTTGCGGTATTGGCGTGCAAATTCCAGCCTTCGTAGCCAATGTACGCCATGGGTGCAAGAACCAGCACCCGTTACAGCTCATACGCAGAAACATTGGTTTTCACAAACCAATTGTTCTGATCGGTTGTTGAGGAGATCTTGTTGTTAGCCCATTGATTCAACTGGTCGGTCAGTTGCTCTCCAGTTGCATATCTATCCGCCCGTACACATCGTCGCCGTCGTTTTCCTCTTTCTTCTATGCCTCGTGGCGCAGCACAGTTGCCTCGGCGCCTGCTTTGAATATCGCCGTTTTGCCACGCGCGGTATTCTTCAACCACGGCGACAAACAACACTTAGCCGTTTAGGAAATGTTTCCGCCCTTGGCACGAAATCCAATAATCGTGTTTTTTTGGACGTTCGATAAATCGCTCCGTTTCTGCAGTGCGTCAACTACTGCTCTGTTTTCCGCTTCCACCCCGCACGTTTTGTAGACCCTCTTCTATCAGTGCTGCAAACTGTGAGGGATCATTGCACATATATGTCAAGCATTGGCCGTGGTCACATTCATGTGACTGAATAGTGTAAATCTATCCTCATTTCAAGTAGAGTGTCCAATAGAAATGAAAAATAATAAATGTTTACTTCCACCATAAAGTAAATGAAAGCTATATTTCACAGGAAGTTCTTTGTACCAATGAACCACTAGCACGCGACTGATCATGAATATCAAATATTTATGTAATTTGATTTTTAATGAGATGAAATGTAGTTTTTGTTAAATTCGATTTTTAAGTAATTCAATTTTTCGACTTCCATTTAGTGTTCGAGTTACAAAGAATCCATTTAAAATATTTTTCCTTAGTATTAACACGTTTATTGCTGAAAATCCCCATAATAATTGAAATTAATGTTTCTAGTCTTCAGATAACTCAAAATTGATTTTCACAAATCCCTTGAACTACTAACTTGAACATCATCGTGCTACATATGCCCAACACATGTATTTCACACTTGTCAATGTTCTCTAATCTGAGCATCCAAGCTCTGGGAAACAAATTTTGTGACTTTCATTCAACATTCACATTTATATAATTATTTAAAAACATTGAAATGAATTAGCTTTTTGCAATTAAAACGAATCCTTGAAACGTTTGTAGAATTGTGCTGCTGCGCCTCATCCCGCGAAGCCAATGTGTAGGACGGGCTTGCTACATTCAGGGAAGCATGCACCGACCATATTCCCCATACTGTGAGGTCCCCAAATCATGAATCAGTATAAACCATGTGATAATATATATGATGAATAATTATGATTTTTCATGTATACACATTTCATTAATATTCTTTCCAAACAATTTTGTTTTCTAATTTCAGGCTAATTATTTCAATTTTCATTTTCCTGTTAGCCCTCACGTAATATCACTGCTCTATACTTAAAATTATTTATTATTTTTTTATTATTAATATTTGGCGATTAATTATTTAGAACTCTTCACTTTACAAATTCATAAAATAACAATTTTACTTGCTTTCAAAAATTCAAAATGTTTCGGCATCTTCCTACAATATAATATAGACATTTGTTCATAATGAAATTTTATTCAACAAAAATATATCTTTAAATAAGTTCATGTTTAATATTTCTAATATAGTTGTTTTTGTGCAATTTGAGTGAACACACGCAATTTTGGACACAATTTTCAACGACAAGGCTCCAATATTATTAAATGTTCTTTCGTCGTATGTAGGCAAAGAGCGGTAAAGAGGGTGCTGGCTCATTTTCGGTTCACTCTCTGTGTTTTAGAAAATTTGCCAAAATAATAATTATATTGCACAAGAACAAAGTAGATGATAGATAGTTTTTGATTAACTGAAATATGTTTCTTTGATACTCTGAATAGTTTAGACGGTAGTTAAGCGAAGAATGAGGACGGACAAACGGATGGACGTTTTGAGGGGAAAAATAAAAAAAGAAAGACTTGTTTTTGGTACCAGGGAACCTCAAAATGTGTATTTCTCTTGATATCTCGAAATCATTTTCACAAGCATTACATAACATGTCTCCACATGCGTATATGCTACTCTTGTATACGTACTTATACGTGAAGTAAAAACGACAATTATCCGACTTTAATATCAATAAACTTATAAATTATCCATTTTTCGTAATTAATAATCTGAAATGAAATGAAAGAGCACAATATTGCTTATATTGTTTGGTGTTTATTTGTTAGATCTAAAGGCAAAGCTGCGTTCATTATCAGTATGCGTCACCCTTTCGCTGTTTTGCATCTCATCCTTCTGATAAAAACTTTGTAACCAACATTGGCTATTAAACCGTCTTTTACTACTTGTTTGCAAGAAACTTTTCCTTGAACGCCATATGTATTATATGGCGTCAAACACTATGTACGGCAAATATTTTATAGACCTTTTACTTCACTAAGCACTTGAGGGTAGCCACAAAAACAACCACAGCTTGTGACTGATATTTTGTCACATATTTAGCACAATTGTCACGGATAGACACTGCGTTAAAATACTATATGAAATAAAAACCCGCATTGACGTCGTATTGAACTTGGCACTGAGTTGGCTTTGTTGTTTTTAATTTGAATGCCTTAATGAGCATGTTAAAATTTTTCCAACAAGAATTTTTTCGTAGAAATTTTTAGCTCTGTCAGTCTCTTTTGTTAGTTAAAATCTAACTTCACTTTAAAAAGTTATGGATAATGTCGTCAGAGGCTATTATAATATGTAACGTTTCTAATATAAGCGAGAAAGTATGAGTCGTTGGAGCATTATTGCATTGAGGATGGCAGGTTCATCTAACATCTCGTGTATCAACCTACACACTATCCGACTAATATTGTAAGGTGACGTGAGTAGAGAAATTCGAAGGAACATATAATGAATGACACAGAGATACCCACCTCTGCAGTTGTACGGACAAGTTATAATTCAAGGCGTACATGTATCCTAATGACATGTCCAGGGTCAGATCAAGACTGGGCCACAATCGTTAAAGTTGTCCAGTTAGAATTGTCCATGATGAATGGCCAGCCACACTTACTCAAATGACGGCAATTAAAAACGAACATTTGGCAGTCACGTGTGTTTCTCGTGAATTCAATAATGTATTTATGGAATCGCTAAATGACCGACTCTCATTCATAATCCTGAATAAACTATTAA